GCATTGAAGATCTCAACATTTACAAAGGCGTTGGGGAATATGCATATACATACTTTTTTTATTTCACTTGCCCGACCACTCAGTAATAAAGGCCTAGTAGCATTATACAAATATACTCTGGCCGAAATCTAGTAGAAATAGCCTCTAGCATCGGAGGAAATAAACTCATAAATAAATGCTATTCAGATAGATAGGAAAAAAATTCGAAATATTTTGGGATCGATTTCTTATGTGTGAAAATTAATTTGTCGCACAAGCAGTTACACAGAGCTACAAATGATTTGTGGAGTATTACCTATTACATCATATATACTTTAACGAGGATCGAAAAACGTGCTAATTTATGTCACACATGCCTACATGCATTGGCCTTAAGGCACTTAGACAATATTTTTATTTTGACGAAATTTATAGAACTGGAATATTGCGAACTTGTCTACCCATGCTTTATGTTTATACCACCAGTCACTAGTTAGCCGACTATGGGATTCTATGGATTTTATGTCATGTGGTCCCAACATGTCCTTTCTAACAAAATGCCTAGAATTGCGATTTTCTTCAGTATCAAGATAATATTTGGGATTCTGTGTCCATTTTATCATGATAGGCCATTCAAATGTACCATAAAGAAGTACATAACCTTCTTGTTGTAATAATTTTTTAACAAGTTCAAAGCTTAACCAATTTAATCGGCACGCTAATTGATTTTGTTTTTCTTCTGCCCAAGTTCTAGTAGAATAAAGGATATGACTATATCGACTGTAAAAATGATCAACTTTCCAGTTAAATTCTATTAGTTCTCCATTAATATAATAATAATACATATCACGAGGAATAATACCTAAATATTTCCATCTAACAGGAGTATCATCATTCCTCACCGCCTCCCAAACTCGTTTTGCCAAAGATTCAGGTCTCTTCTTGTAATTCCTGTAAGCTCGCTGGATAACTGTTGCATAGAAATTTTCAAAGCCGTAATTATAGTATTTAGGAATCAAGAATCCCCAAGATCGCTTCATTGATCTTCCTAAAATACTTCACTATAATAGTTATATATTAGAGGATCTAACCCAGAATAGGCGGATCAGGTTTTTCTTCATGCATAGCACCTTCGGCCAATTATACTAGGCGATCATCTATGCAGATTATATACTGAATTCTAGTTGTACATTTTATTAGATAGCGCAAAAAATAAATTAATTCATTATTTTACAAAGCGCCTTACAAGTATCTGGCTAAATAATTATACATAAATATGAAATATACTACACTATTTTAGTAAAGAATCTAAAATTTGATGTATATACTCACAATTATTATTCAAGTCTGAAAAATCTATTATATTTAACTTTCCCTCGATAGTAGTATATCCAGATTTAAAATAGTTGATTTCTAGCGAATCACATGGATAATGTTTGCCTGCTTTTTTACACATATATCGTGCATATTCTGAACTTTTAACGAAGTTTACAACAATGTTATTATTTACTTTGCTAATATGGTGATATTCAGGATTTGCTAGACATTTTAACATAAGGGACCAATCTCCATAAGTAACGATTCTATAGCCTTGCTGATGCAATTTTATAAAAGCAACTATATATGCTACAGTATTTAGGCGATTATATAACTGGTATTTCTTCCATTCTGCCCAATCACTAGGATGATAATAATTATATTCTTTGTACCCTGAGGCCCGTTTGGCTAGATATTCTTTAATATATTTTTGAGCAATATTTTCATTATATACTTTTTTAAAGTAGTTGACATTTTCATCGGTATGTAAATCATATTCTTCTTGAGTCTGAGGATTTATTTTCCTTTCACAAGTTGAAAGTATACCTAAATATTTCTTCCTATCGGGAGCACTATCATTTCTCACTATATTCCAGACTCGTTGTGCCAATGTTTCAGGACCCAACTTGAAAGCTCTCCAAGCCCGTTGGATAGCAATTGCACTGTTAGTTATGCAAACTACAATCTCTTTCATGATTTCTTCTATTTGTGTAGCATCATAACCGCTAAAGTCTTTTCTGAAGGTACTGTTTAAATAATACGAATTATTATTATAAAGCTTACTAATCTCTTTTTTAGAACTAAGTACTCTATTAATTTTTCGTTTCCATAATATAGATCTATAGTATGCAACACGCCTTTCCTCTATTTTAGCAATAC